CTCTCTGCACACTCCAGCCACGTGCTTGCCATCAATGAGCTGCATTAAGTCCGGACTGGTGGCAAAGTGCCAGATCAATAATGTCTTAACAGCTTCCTCTCATCTGAGCAACCTGCTCACAGATACTCAGCATAAAAGACATAACGAGAAACACACAGCTTTGAAACGTCCTAAAATTAAAAGCAGCTTTTTCCACCAGGGACATGTCATGTTATCTCTAGTCCCATGTTACACAAACACTCCCTGCTTTGCACATTGGCTGCAGATGTGAATCAGACTCCTGTTAATGAATAAGCCCTGTTTCTGGATCAACACTTTCCATCAGGATTATGATTGAATGAGAATGAAACAGCCTAGAGAGCCTGCATTGTGCACAGTGCAGTGGCCACATGGGGTTTGACAACAGGGAAACGTCAGCATCTGTGTGACATCCAATGCAGACGCCCCTGAAATATTCTGCAGTCACACTGTATACACTGCTGCTGCTAATGCACGACCACACCCCCACTTGGAGAAAAAAACAGGCAGTATTTTAGAGAGATCAACCTGTCTTGATTTCAGAAAGAGAGAGAAGCAATGACAGGATGTATGTCTAAAAATATCCACTGCTTTTTTCCCCCCTCCTTCTCTGACTTAATGTAGAAGTTTCTTCACACCCCGCTCTCCTGTGAGGAATAATCGTCACTTCGTCAGAGGAACCATCCAGGAGGTGTCTTTAAGGACGCTATCACTGTGTTGCTTCTGTCAACACATGCGTCACTCAGCGCCCCGTCATCACCTGGGATTCGATAATAGGAGAGAATAGTCTGATCTGATACAGCTGTGTTTATTTCAGAACTGTGTTTGCTGAGCTTTATGGCCACACATTATTGTCTGATTCTAGCTTTCCAAAAAGAGAGGATTTGCTGCTTTTCATAGTTTAATATCTTTGCATTTTAGACAGTGGGTTGAAAAGACGTCAGATGTGGCTCTTGGATAGGTTACAAACCATAATCCAAAAAGAAAATATTGGAAAATCGCAAAATAGAAAAATAGATGGAAAAATAGAAGCACCTAATTTATTTGCTCCAAAACTAAAAAAGGTTAATATATATATATATATATGTATAACTTAATTTGACTTGGGTTTTATAAAGTACTTTAATGGTTGGTATTGTCATTGTTGCTTTTCTTGGGCTTTTTGACTCTCTTATGAGATTGATGTTCTTATATTTGTTAGGATGCATACGATAAGGTCTGCTTAAATGTTTGTAACATCTCAATCTCTATGATGTGTAGCCTATAAGAAAAATACAAATAGATAAATTGCGAATAAACCGAGAAAGGTTCATAGTGTTTGAGGTGTCAGTATTATTGTCATTGTTCAGGCTGTGGACAGTGGTCCTGTTATATTGTGCCAACAGAAACATGGTATTATCATGCAGTAATGCTTATTTTTGCCCCAACTGAATTTGAAAATACTAACTTAAGAGAGGAGAAAAACTCTCTCTTCAAACTCACAACTCATTTGCCATACACCCATGTTTCTAAATGTGAAATCCAGTATATCCTATTGATCAAAGCAGAGGAGCAGAACTCACAGCAGCTCCCCTACATGTTTTTGCATCAGAATTACTGAAATAAGCACAAGTTTCAAAATGTGCCAGGGTTGCTGTATTTGTGATGTGCTTCTTGCCTCAAATTCATTCACAGATCACACAGTACCATGCATGTGTGGGAATGAATAGGCCCTCTAGCACCGAGTCGGCGATATTGATACATCCCAAACCTTTGTGAGTCACTTAACCCTTTCAACGCTAACGTGAAACACAATGCTGCAAAACGGAGCTACTATTTCTCACTTCCGGGTGCTACATCAACATATTATTTTATTTGTGCACGACGCTCACCTTTGTCTGTTGTCCATGCCGTTTCCGACACGGCGCCGTAGCTCCTGAGCGCGCGCTCGGTGTCCGAAATAGATTTCTTCAGCTCCATGTCGGTCGGTGGAATGCCCTCGCGCCGAAACCAGGATGCACGAGACTTTCAGCTTCAGAAAAACCTACGCTGCTTCTGTGTGTGCGCACGTCCCTACAGATAACTCAGTTTCACCCGGTGACAAGGCTCCAGCGACCCGAGACGTTGAGCATCTTTATTCAAGCTTTCAAGTCCCTTTGACGTGTGGATGGAGAGGAGGATGTAGGGCGCATGCGCAGTGCGAGCAGGGAGGTGAAGACTAAGGAGACACCCACTGACACCGAGATGACGTTAAAAAGAAAATTATAGTGCACTGGAGTTTTTATTATCAGCCTGTTCAATAATTTGTTTTGTAGCAAGCCAACTATGTATTAAAAAGCAGGAAAATAGCTTAAATGGTGTAAGCTATTTAAGCCTTTTGCCTCTAAAGTGTACATCTGCTTGTTATCTGCATGTTGGAATAAGTGCCAAAGGATAAGTGCCAGAAGTTTCCACATGAGGGGGCCCGGTTGGCATAATCGAGAAGTGGAATATAGCAGGCTGTACCATATTAAGAAACAACTTTAGTAATGGGTGCCTGAAGCATCATGTTTGTCTCATGAGCAGGGGGCGATCAAACAGAGTGGAAACGCAGACTGCAGGGGAAACTTGCATCAGCAGGGAGGCTGTCTCCAAAGGATGTGTGGAGGCAGAGCAGATGCGTCTAAAGTGTGAGTTGTATGGAAGAATGAGTAATATTTCTGTATAAACACACCAAGGATGCACCTCTGAAGAGAAAATGTCAGAGGTGCACAAGATATCAAATAGAATTGTGTGCATAAGAACAAAAAAATCAAAATATAAAAGGTTCAAAGGTCAACCAAGGTTAATAACTGTTTCTTTGTGTTGCTGTGGCTGAAAAACAAATGATAAGACAATTGGTTTAATGTAATTTATTCAACAACAAATGTTATACATATCCACCATATAAGTGCAACCTTTGTGCAATTGTGATCGAATCTTTTAAAATATCAACACCAATTGATCAAATAATGTGTGTAATATTACCTAGTTCTCAGTCGCTGATATGAACAATGAGAATATTCATTGATTTAATCTCTAAGGGACAGATATAGCACATCAGCATTAACATTAAAGGAAACAACCAATCTAGTACTACACTAATAATAAGTTAGTAGTCTACGGATGCAATTTAAAGGATGTCTGATAAAAGGGATGTTGGGTAAAAAACTATTCTGCAACACAATTTGTCATATTATAATTATTATTCACAGTATTCATTCACTTCTGAGAGACATGTTAAATAATATAATCACACAACAGCTCTGGCATTAGCTACTTCAAAATCGCAAACCCCATTTTAGACCCAAACAAATCAATACAAAATAAACATTTGTCAGGAATTTAAGTTAAGAAACACTAGTTAATTAAATGTTTTTGTTATTATATGCCTGATACAAAAGATATGTCTGATCTAAACCCTTTAAAATTCTATAAATATAAATAGTAGGCAGCTCTTGTGCTGCAGCTAAATGACCTCCATAGAAAACTGCTTGGCAGGCATCTGACATTACATTTAAATAACCACTGCAGGCAAGGAAACCTATAACATTGGCAAGAGGTAACATTTAAAAAAAAAAAAGGAAATGGTGCACTCCACTGTATAACATTTAACATAAAGTACAACAATATAGGCAGCATTTCCCCATTCAAGTAAATGGATGTTTGACACAAACATCTTCAGTTGTATTTCATTGCCACAATATTTAGAAGTAATATGACTCTGGTTGAATACATGGAAATCAAAAACATGTGTTTATAGATATGTTTTAGTATTTTTTAAGTGTATTGAAAAATATATGAATAATGGATTATTTGTACCTGTGTGAATGTTTATTTAGCACTTCTTGTACCAGAGTAAGTAAACATGAGCCAAAGCAGAAAGTCCTTAGAGTTCAGGCACTGTCTTAGCACTCATGCTAATGAAAAGAGAATGATATTTAAAGGGGCCCTATGATGCACATTTTCAGGTTCATATTTGTATTTTGTTCCTCTACTGCAGTGGTTCTCAAACTTTTTCTGTCAGGCCCCCCCTTTGGAGAAAAAAAAAAGTCGGGCCCCCCCCAACACAAATAGTCACGTAATGGGCCAAGTTAACATTTATTAAAATACATCAATATGAACGTGTGCATTCCTTTAAAAAAAATCACTTTGCTAGAACAGTGATAATAAAACAACAATGCTCCATAATTCTGTGTGGTCAAAAAAACAAAAACATAATACAATTGTGCAATCCCTTTGCTAGAACAATAAGTTATAATACTTTGCAACTTTGCAATCTCTGCAAAAAAATGAAAAGAAAGAAAATGCTGATATTTGGCAAAAAAGTGTGTCTTAGCATTAGTGTCTGCAATGAGCCTGTTTTGCACTGCACATTTCTTCAAAACGGGGTTGCAGGCTCAGTGGCGGGGCCAGAGATTACTTTTGGGGGTGCTGTGGGGTAGCTTGACGTTTCATAGAGGGTGCTCAAACATTTAGGGTTTCCCATTAATGTACCAGTCGCTACAGTGGACATTTCTACTGCAACACTCCCCATGCAAATACACAGTGTACCTGCGACTGTTACAATGAAGGCTCGATAATCAGCTCACGGCATATAGGTGTAAGCAGGGGTAAAGTGCTATTTGGGTGGGGAGTGGCCCTAACATAGGGGGGTCCGGGGGCAAGCTCCCCCGGGAAGATTTTTTTTTAAATATTGAAGTTAAAAGCATCAATTTGATGCACTTTGAGAGCAACATGAAGATGAGAGATATGGATACATCTCTCAACACATATGAAACAGAACTGTAAACAGATTTACTATTTCTTTATGGATATTTTACAAATCACTCCCCTTTTAAACTGTATTCTTTTTTTACTGTCATATAGTATTTCATACCTGTTTTTCATTTATTCTCTTATTTTGATATAATTATAATGATCATATGAAGGTGTGCCTCGGAAATAATTGTTTACATTAATCGTGACCAAAACGTTTGAGACCCACTGAGATAACTTAGACTAAAGTTAACTATCTAAACACTCAGAGAGTCCCTTAGTTCACTGAGCCTCTCAGTCTGACAGGAGAGGACTCTCCTCCACCTTGTTGTTGAAAAAGTGAGAAAGAGAAACTCCCACTGTGGGGATTTTAGCCATTCAAGACCATTAACATGCACAAATACCTAGAACACACTACAAGAAAGGGATAACCCCTTAAAAGCACAATAGGGCCCTTTTAAAGAATTTTTTAGAAATGTGGCCAATGTTATGAAGTAAGAAGTCTAAGCTAATATATTAGCTGCCTCTCCGCACTGTGGCAAACATTCTTCCCCACTTTCATTCCAGTTTTGAGACAAAAGCAGAGGAATGTAGATCATCAACCTGCCACATTCCCGTCATTATCAAAGCTTCCCCTCAGACATAGAAGTCATCAAGAATCATTTTCATATGGTCCAATTAATGAAGGGAACTCTCCTGTTTGAAATGAGAGAACACACGGTTGCATTTATAAAAACAAAACCGGATGACAAGTATAGCACATTGATGGAAAAGTAGGACTGATTGACATGTTTGAGGTGATGTGCATATTTAAAAATATACACATTCAACTTGCTGGACGCTCTTTCGCAAAGCACCTAGAGCGTAATGAGGATACACATTTTAGTTCAACCTCAGAGAGACTTTGAACTCAAACCCTGGCAGTGAAAGTGCAACATGGACCACAGACAGGACCACCTTTTTGTTTTGTCCCCTCCATTACAGACACTGATCCAACATACTTCAGTTCTGAGTAGGTTTGGATGCTACTGGTCCCTCTTTGGAAGCATCTTTCTGGTCCTTGCAGTCTACTTTCTCCGTTGTGGATTCTCCTTCCTCTTCTTTAGGAGGGAACATCCAAGTCAGAGCAGCAGCAGCCGTGCCGTCGCCGCTCTGACGCGAGAAGCAGAGGAAGGTGGCCCAGACGAAGCCGCAGCAGCCGGTGAAGGTGGTCCGCAAGTACAGAGGCACGAAGGTAAAGTTCAGAAACTAAGGGAGAAACATGATGGTTAAAATATATTTATATCATTGTGCTGGTATATCACAAATCAATAAATCATCCAGATTATAATTGAGATGTAGTAAATATAACTTTCTTGCGCAATTATTGTTTGAGATACAGAAACTCTACTCTCTAATTCGAACTACATCAGTTTGTTTGAATTTACACATTTTTATGTCATTATGATATTTTGAAAAGGTGTTACAATTATATGGGTTAGTGTTTCAAAATGTAAAAGACAAAATTAGCAAAATAAGGGGGAAAAAATAGTTAGAAATAGCATTCGAAATGAATAAGGTAATTCAAGTTTTAATAGTGAAGAAAATCTAAACTCAAAGGTCTACTTACAACACATAAAGTTATACTCAGGAGGTCGTAGGAAGTGATTGAAAGCTAAGAATCATTAGCAAGTGGACCTTTGATCTTGGATTTTCTTCACAATATATTATCTAATATGTAAGGGAGTTGTTAATATTTACCTGCATAAATGGCCAGAACATTAGCCCCGTCTGAAAAGAGACAAACAGAGAGCAGACACCTGTCACAACATGTCACAGTTTGCACTACATTTCAGACCTGAGCGCTCCAAGGTGCTGGGGATCATGTCGTGACAGCCCGCCTCTCACCTTATAGGTATTCAGGAATTTCTCTCTCCAGTCTTCAAAAATGTCATCTTTGCCCTCCAAGAAGCTGACACCTGGGTGAAAAAACAAGACAAATGACAGTTGATTTCTGACTGTCAGCTGGGAACTGATGTGACCGATGGCAGGTGAACAGACAGAGAGTGAAAGTGGACTTTGAATACACACAGATGTACAGTTTGTCCTATAGGAGTAGGGAAAATAATGTCAACAATATGTACTTTAATCTCAAGCTGTGTTTGTGATATTCTGGTACATATTGCGACAAAAATTAGCAGTAGAAGCATTAGAGATTATGGGATACGTGAAGCAAATTATTATCTTAATGTAGTTTTCTGTTTCTGGTTTGTCAGATTTAGAAGATTTGAGGTACAAAAAGCTTTTTTTTGCCATCATCAAAAATGATTGTTTCTATTAGTCTGACATTTAGATAAAACCCCATATGAACTACTAACTACTTCTTATTTTTATTATGTTAGAGCAGTAATAAGAATTCTAAAGCGAAGACTCAACAGTTTTGCCTGTTTTAGAAATCAATGACCATGTTGGAAAACTAATCCTGATGTTGGGACTTTCTTATCCACAAAGTCTTGGCAACAGAACTCACGTCTAAACAATGAACTCTTAGGATTATATAGGCTACCCAAGGACATTCATCTGTGTATACAATGCAGCTACTCTGTTACAGGCTAGGTTGCCACTTCTGCACTGTTCATTGCACTTTTTACTTTCATTTTCTATTTTAACTGAGTTTACTAGTTTGTATATACATTTTGTAACAAGATTTGACTTGAGGCTCTTGTATTCAACCCATGTGTGACACATACAATCTTCAATCCCCTTCTCCCTTTACTCCAGACTAGAACTATCTGCTTGGATCATATCTGCTGACTTTCATGTGACCTCTGATGGCCAAGGTATGTTTCCAGGACAATGAGCTCTGAGAGCACCTGGGCTTGGGTTACAAATTGACAGATACGGGATATGTTTTGAGGTTAACCCGTAACAGCCCGGCCGGGGAGCAGCCGTCCTGCACCGGCTCCCTGTCACACACTGACCCGTGTAGAAGACGCTGACGGCCAGCGGGGCGGCGGTGGTCTGGTCCAGCAGCAGCTTCCTCAGCACCATCCGGATGGAGTTCCCGGGAAACCTTCGCTCCAGGAACCGCATCCAGAAGAAATTGACGTTTCCATGGAAACCAAACGCGACCACGGCGACATTCCGTGTGTGTCGCCAATCCAGTTCCTCCCTGCGCGAGAAGAACCACTGGTGGACAAAGTCCCCTCCCGCGAACAGGCAGCCGTACATTGTCACGTTGGTGACCCACGGAAACCGACGGACATTTCTCAAAAACGCCTGCCGCATTGTTTTAAACTAACACAGCGATATTTAATATGGTGTAAGCGAAATGTTACGTTAATCTTTGCTAAATGTGACAAATAACACCGGCGGTATCTCTGTCTGAATATCTCCGCGGCATCACTCACACTGTAGTCCCGTCCAGATTTCGGTGGAAAAGGTTCATACTGGTTTGGGACGACAAAATGTATATTTATTGTATTATTCCTGTATTTTCCTGTAGTCTCAGTTGGGATACTTGCTCGTCATGCACCATTCGACCCCCAGTACGGGACCTGTCAGTGTGACACCGGCCGGTCGGCTCATTCTGCGTAAAATTACTACGCCCCTTTTTACGTAAAAAATCATGACTACACAGCTGAGGGCGGAGCAAAAGTGAAAGCATTGAGCAGCCATAGTAGCTCAATCTGAAAGAGAGAATGTTAAAAAAAATACTACCACAAGAGTGATAGTTAAACGGGCTATCAATCAATGGAGGTTAGTGGACCTTTAGGAACAGCTTCAGTGAAATACACCTCCATGAAAGGGAGATTTATCTGTACCCTCCCCTACCTATCCACACCTATGCGTGCAACCATACTTCACTGACACATACAATAACTTTGGCCAATACTGATATCTACAGAATAAACATTGAGCCATGATATGTTCACAATGGAACCACTTCTGTGATGCAGCTACTTGTTATTGATCGGTTGATTGGCTGATATTGTCCGGTATAATAGCTGGGAATTGAAAGTGATATGGTATATCCCCTCCTGGGACCCAGCCCATTGAAAATGTCCACTGTAGTGGACATTTTGTTAACATGCATCTCCTTTTACTCTTTTGAGCTACTCTATCAATCTCTGATGTACTGTACAGAGGACATCCTGGTCTTTCCAGTGATATGTCATTGCTTAAAATTGCATGCTGGGAAGTTCCTCTTTCTTTTCATCCAAAATGGCTGGCATACCAAAAACAAAATGTTATAGAGGCAGGAGAAGTCAAATATTGTTGAATAATTGTAATTTTTACCATAAAAATCATATATGTTCTTGTTTATTAACATGTGAGGAACTATATAATTAATTCTGAAAGCAATTAAATAATTCAAGTTTTCAAATAACAGCTCTTTTATAAATGTCCATTCTAGTGGACGTCAGGACCATCTTCATGGACTTAATGACTCGATATTGTTGCAGGAGACGGAACTGAAGCAGACATTTTCTGTACCAGATAGTTAAGGGAGATTAAGATTTTGAGCTCTCAGATGATGAGAGAGATGAGGATTTCACACCTGGGATAGAAGAGGGTCAAGAAGAAGGGGGGGAAAGATGCAGGAGGCTCCATGAGCGCACAGATACAGACATAGAGACAGATAGGGACGAGCTGGAAAGACATGGCCCCCTGTGGGCCAAGAGTAGCACGCATGTCTTATTGTTGTTTTTATTTTAAGTGGAGCCATGAAAAATGAGAATTGCCTCAGGAATGCAAGCTTTGTTTCTATGAGCATGGTCAAATGGAGACCACATCCATAACACTAGTCAAGATGACCCTACAGCCCGTGCCGACTGGAGTCCAATGAGGTACTTTCCCAGTACCTCATTGTACAGTACAGACTACAAAGTTTGAACATCTGGAAAGATTCACCAAAAACCAAACTAGTTTTTTAGTGACCAAATAAACAGCAATGTTCAGATCAATGACTTATTTATGTTTTAAATAAAGGTGAATGTATTATTAATATCACTCTATAACCATAATAAGTTACATACTGTAGTCTATCTGTTCATTTTGGCTGTCTTTTCAAACTAAAATGGTCCTGACGTCCTCTACAGTGGACATACTGTAACATTTAAAAATTAAATTAAATTAAAAAAGTCTAAATTGCAAGATGTTTTTTTAACCCTAAATAGGTAGGAAATCACAAAAAAAAGGAAATTGGAAGACAATTTTTTTCCTCGGGTCCCAGGAGGATATATACCAGCTAATGACAATGTTCTCAAATGGTGGACTTAGTAGTTGGCAAACGCTATTCCTGAATCCAAAATTGTGATATTCCACTCTGAAGAAAATCAATTGTTGACCGTTTCAAACTAGATTGGACGTGTTAACATTTATTTAGCAACAGGTACATTATGTTCACAAGTTGCATGAAGTTGCACGAAGTTGCACTGAATGCTTTAAGCACCTGTCAACCTTCTGAATAACACAGCTGAGGAAAAGGCCTTATACAGTATATGGTGTTGATTTCATTTCAACAATCTCAAAAAACACATCTAGTAAAATCATATTCTGTTGCGTTTGACAAGGATCCATATAGCTATACACATTTACGCATGCAAGTTCCTAAAACACACACATTCATGGCAAAGTATACAGCAGTATATGAGGAAATATTATATTTCGTTCCCCCCAGGAAGTTGCGTTTTTAGTGGAAGGCATAGCAATACATATTATCCTCAATGTTTTAGACAAAATGCTAAAAATAAATGTATTCTTAATTTTTGTTGCAGCAAGTTCCCCACTTGTAGTTTTCCTCAAAAAGTAGGTTGGGCTTCTTTTTTTTTTTCTTTTTTTAAATTGTACATATTTTACACGTTTAGCCCCACTAAACACACAACATGCATGCAGTTGCAAATCATATGTATGTTTTAGACTGATATTATATCTCTCAGAAATTGACTTAAAGGTAGTTTGAGAAACCGGATCGAGATCGCTAGAATTTGAAAATACACAACCGGAGAAAATCTGCCACTTCCTTATAGAGCCCCTCCTCCAACACACACGAACGCGCACATGACCAATGAGGGCACGAGATAAGTTTGTGCACAGATGGAAGGCTGACAGGCAGGTAGGCCATCCAGTTATTTTAGCCGGGCCGGCTAAAATGATTGGTCGTACTTTTTACAGTATTACGGCTTCCACAGATGACATTTTTTTTATGGATTTTTTGTCAAAGCACTTAAGATATTCATTGCTATCGGGATGTTAAGAGCATTCCATGGAATATAACAAAAAGTGTATCTCGAGCCGGTTTCTCAAACTTACCTACCCCACCTTTAACACTAGCTTTAGTTAAACACACCTTACAGAGTAACTGAAAACATCAACTCAATGACAAAAATATAAAAGGCAATTAAATGAAGTCGGAATTCTTAATGTCTATAAACTGTCAAATGATATCCCCAACATGCAGAGCAGGAAATGAATAGATAAGAGAATGCTTTGGAAAAAATGCAACCATCGTTTTTGGGCTTAAAACCAAATGATAACTATTGTAATCGCTCGCGGTCTCAGACCCTAACTACTGGGCATATGACAGGATTGTTAATTATTTCCTTTGATAATCTAAACAGTCAAGCATAGTGGGGCATTAACTTACTGCAACAGCAGGTGTTATGCAAGTTGCAGACTTTACATCTTAGGAGTGGGAACAAATTAAATGTTACAGGCATGAACAGCTTCACTTGTACTCGTCTGCTCTCTCTACTGGACCAGCCAGATGAGACATACAGCGCGGGGGGGGGGGGGGGGGGGGGGATACCTCCATGATAAGACACGATGAACAAAAAAAGGACAGCAGGTGGATGGGTCATAGTGTATCCATTGAGCTGAGAGGCAAAAACAGGTTGAATGTTAAGGTCCAGTGGGAGGCAGGCTCTATGACTACGCAGCCCTCTCCCAGTCCCCCCTCTCCGACCTGTGGTAGAGCTGCGGCTGCCCCCCGGGGAACAGGCTGTCAGAGCTGGGGTGTTCTAGGAGGAACTGGATGGTGGTCTTCATGTGCTGGACGAAGTGAGGCGGCTCAGCCAGCGGAGAGGTGGACATGTACTGGGCAAGAGAGAGATACCAGTCAAAGTTTGTTATGACACTTTCTGGTAAAAGTGGTAAGATGACATTTTAGAAATATTGTGAATTTCAAAGATATAAGCACGAGATTCAGAAATAAAAAACATTGCAATTTAAATGATTTTAATGATGAATGTGTTATAATGTGAATAAAACATTTTTTTTTTGTATTAAAGTTACAAAGTGTGAGGGGTTTTCTCCCCATAATTGTACCTTTTTAAGTTTGAGAAAATATTATCACGTTTTTTCTCAGAAATGTACAACTCTGATCTTGGAAATAACATCACCCCCCTCCCCTGGATCTGTAATAATGATTATTTATCTACAAGACCCTGATACAATGTTATATAGATTCTTTAAATGAAGCGTGAAACATAGGAAAGTATAACAAAAGATGATGTCGATCCTTTTTATGACTATTTACTTCCATATTCCTTTACCTTCAAAATAGTGTCATCCTCTTGTGACAACCAGAAGCCGATATCCAGATTTGGGGACCAACTGCAAGGGCCAATTTTAACGAGGCCTTGACTCGAGTCATATATGTCTGCCATCTGTAAGAAAAAAACTGTAATTAATAATCTTTGCACTGAGATTGCGTCTACGGCTGCCAATCATTATCAATTCATCTGCTGTTTATTTCCTTAATTAATATTTTGATTTATAAAATACAAATAAGGAAAACAAGTCAATCCGTGTTTTTAAAACTCCCAGGAGATCTCTTTAAAGTCTTGTTTAGTCTGTCCAAAACCCAAAGACATTCACTTTATTAGGATATAAAACAATGGAAAGCAGAAATTCTCCATATTTGAGATGTTAAATACAGAATTGTCCTTTTGCTTAAAAATTATATTTATCAAAATATCTGCCAATAATTTTTCTGTTGATTGTTGTAACCTTTTATGTGTCCTTTTAGTTATACCTATAAAACATTTACCACATTATTAATTTAAAGAGGAAATCAGTATTTTTTATTTGTTTATCATTATAATATCATTAAAAAAAAAAGTGGAATAGTGAGAGTTAAAATGAAATAGTTATTGTGTCTCACAGAGAAAACATCATTAAATATCTGTGGTACCTGTCCCCCAGTGAAGGTCCTTGCTGACCGCAGCTCCTCTGCTGGTCCTTTGTGAGTAAATGACGAAGGAAACACATCCCCTGTATTAACATTTACACCTGTACAAAAACAGACATAGACACACAATATATTAGAGATTTCAAGCCATTAAAGCACCAATTTCACTAAGTAGCATATTCATCACTCACCTATGCCATATACTACAGGACTATGATTTCCATCAACAACAATGTCATTCATTTCTACAAAAAAATAGATCAGAAGGGTTAGTTGGATGAAGAAGTGACTGGTGGACTTTTTATAAACAGTAGTAAATGAGTAACAAAGTTACCTGTGATGCAGCATGTTTCCAGATGAATTTCCTCTTTCTGTTTCTGGAAAGCTGCTGTAAAAGTACAAATAATTATTTGTAAGTGTTACAAAGCTAAAATGCTGCCAGCATTATTACAATTAGGTATTTTGAAAGACTATACCCAGTATGTTAAGGCTGAGTTTATGGGATGTTTTTGACTCATCGTTAAATCCTCCAGCAAGAAGGAGCTCAAGTCTGCATAATGGAAAGTAAAATAAAAGTATAAAGGAATATAATTGGTACTTTGATTATTGATCTTTATTTGTGTGTTTCGTACCTGCCCTCCTTACTAACGTTACTCAGTGATGTCACAGCTTTCACAATAAGCGGGATTTCAGACCAGGTGCAGGAACCATCGCAGTGGGCAAGGCAAACAGCTCCACTTCCTAAGAAAATAAAAAAATGATGGCATATATCCTTACTATATATACACATGCAGAATAGGGCCCACAGTGAGAATTCAATGAAAGAAGCGTTACCGGTGTGTCGCAGCACAACAAAATGGCAGGTGGTGGCATCACCAGATCCGATTACTGAAACAGATTCTGTCAAAGGGAAGATAAAAAGCATTTATTATTATTATTATGACCCAATATTTTTAACTTATACTACTATCTGGGTGGGTGGGAGAGAAACTTCTTCTGGCCTGGACTTTGGGATTTCAGCCTTTCAAACTATTGACATGCACAAAAACCTATATAACACACTACAGGAAAGGTAAAACAACGTGGAACCTTTCTTTTTAAAGATAGCTGCAGATTTTATTGCTCCACCTCTCACTAATCTTTTTAACCTCTCCCTCAGCACAAACACAATTCCAAAATTGTGGAAGTCAGCGTATGTCCTGCCTCTGCTGAAAGGAGGGGAGGCAACTGTTTTAAATAATTATAGGCCCATCTCTAAATTATCAGTTCTGGCTAAGGTTCTTGAACGCCTAGTGAGTGAACAGGTAAAGGTGTTTTTATGTACAAATGACATCCTGTCTAAACATCAGTCAGGCTTCAGAAAGCAACATAGCACCATCACTGCCACAATGAAAGTGGTGAATGATGTGGCGAGTATTTTAGATAATAAGCAGAGCTGTGCAGCTCTATTTATTGACCTTTCCAAAGCGTTTGATACCGTCGATCATCGCATCTTAAAGCAGAGGCTACTCAGTATTGGCATATCCAGTCATGCAGTGGGGTGGTTTGTGAACTACCTCTCTGAAAGGTCCCAATGTGTTCATTTTGATGGGCTGTCTTCTGAGTGGTTAAACATTACTAATGGTGTTCCTCAAGGTTCTGTTTTAGGTCCACTTTTATTCTCCATCTACATCAATAGTTTAGGTGAAAATGTCGATGGAGCAACCTTACATTTTTATGCGGACGATACCGTTATGTACTGTGCATGTCCCTCCATTAAGGAGGCTGTTGTTGAATTGCAAGCTGCTTTTAACATTATTCAGACTCAGCTCTCTGAACTAAAGCTTCTTTTAAATGTTGATAAAACCAAGGTAATGCTCTTTTCAAAAGCCAAAAAGACACCAGAGCCTGTTTTAGATATTTTAACTACGCAAGGAATAAAACTTGAAGTGGTTGCCTGTTACAAATACCTTGGTATCTGGCTTGATGATTGTCTCACTTTTAAACGACATGTCAATAACCTGCTTAAAAAACTGAGGGTTAGACTAGGTTTCTTTTACAGGAACAAGTCCTGTTTCTCGCTCGAGGCCAGAAAAAGGCTAGTCTCTGTGACCTTTTTACCTGTGCTGGACTATGGTGATCTGATTTATATGAATGCACCTGCCAATTGCCTGGTCAAGTTAGATGCTGCGTATCACAGTGCACTGAGATTTGTGACAAACTGTAAAGCATTAACCCATCACTGTACCCTGTATGCAAGGGCTGGTCTGCCTTCACTAACTGTACGGAGGCTCAGTCACTGGTACATTTTTATATATAAAGCCATGTTAGGGAAACTTCCATCCTACATCTGCTCCCTGATCTCACGGCGAATTGTAAGTGGCTACTGCCTGAGATCGCATGCTATGGTTTTATTAAATGTGCCAACTGCTAGGACTGTCTTAGGGAAAATAGCATTTAGATGCGCAGCTCCACTGTCCTGGAATAGTCTGCAATTAAAATGGAAACTGAGCAATCTGGTGCCACTAAATGTTTTTAAAGCTCGGTTGGATGCTAGTGAATCGGAAGCTGTTGGTACCTGTGCATGTGGATAGTATGTAAATTGTAATCCCTGTAATGCTACTGTATGATGTCCTTTTGTTGTTCTGTTTATGTTTTTAATGTTTCATGTGGAACCTACTTGAGCAGGTCTCCCTTGAAAAAGAGATCAATGATCTCAATGGGATACAACCTGGATAAATAAAGGTTTGAAATGAAATGAAATGAAAACCCCCAAAACCATAATAGGGCCTCTTTAAGAGAATGTCCCAAAACGTGAGGGCACATATGTCTAGTTCTTCAGAGCAAGAAGTTTATATATTTCACATATATTTCCCAGTAACATTTCCTGAGCTTAGAAAAGACAAGGTCTGATATTTGGATGGTCTGTACCAATCACCAGGTTTTACTTACTGTCTGCTGGTGTTGTTGCTGCAAACTCTCTTTGTTGGACGTACAAGAGGCACTTTGGGTCGACATCAACAAGTGGCTGGGAGCGAAATGTTCTTGCATTTTCCTGTGACATTAGAGTAAAATATAAATGTGTTGCGTTAATGTTAATTTGTGGATTTCTAACATTGAAATCAAAACACTAACAGAAATTGATAATAATTAGTCTTCACAGGTCTACATTTTATTAGATGTAAAAACAAAAATCATAATTTGGCAGATAGTTGTATTATCCCTGACTGATTTGCATCTGCCACCATATGTAACGCCCCCATGCTGTTATAAATAGTATATAAATACCCATTTGGTGTTATCCAGTCTTTCATAAAGTGCTCACTTACAGAAAAGTAACTGCTGACAGTTTCTCTACAAGCTAAATGTAGCCACACTTTCTGGAAACAAACCTTTAAATGTGGATGTCTGTCGAACAGCTCCCCTGTCGAGGTAATGCGGTCAAGTGCTCTATTTTGAATTAACAACGGCATTTCCTTAAACGAGGTCCACTATGCAAACTCCTAGTTTTCATACTATTCTAAAGGCCAGTTACTTCTTATCATTGTATGGCTTAATATTTATATATTTCATATTTTAACAGAATATATCGCAGTAACTGCTGCAAATCCAGTCCAATCGTGTGAACTTCCTGGAAGGCTTTTCTTCTTCTTCTTCACCAAAAAATGAGGCTTAACACCCAGTTTCTGACACACCGCCACCAACCGTTAGAAAGCACGAACGTGTACACGAGCGCAATTCACCATTACTACTTAGAAAAAATGTGTACGTAGTGTCAGTTAAATTACACACAGCTACGTATAATTACTAGCGGAAGTTACGTCGCTAAAGAGGGCAGGGAGCGAAGCTGCGAAGCAACTGTTTTGTTCTGTGACGCACACAATAATTGTTTACTCCGTATGTAAGCGAAATTATCGTCTTAGAATCTTCTTAGACCGTTTTGCAATTTTAAATTGCACGTATATTCATTTGTTATCAGGAAATAACCTAAACAAAGCGTCGTCACTCGCTAAAGCTCGGTTTACTTACAGATATTGCCGAAAAGCTACTGTAGTTGACTCTTTTCGCCAACATGAGAGGGGGTTCCTCCTACGGAGACAGAGACCATGGACGAGACAGGTAGGTGTAATGAATACGTAAACAACACGCACTTAATTTACTCACAATGTCTAAACTCCACTTTAAGTATTACCCAAAATCATGGCTGCTGTATTTTTCGTTAAATGCATCACGAACGCAGTAAAAGCTCAAACAACCACAAGGCCTCTCTGGAGTTTGTAGTTAATTACTCTGTAAACATTTCACTTGGTAAAGGTCATTTTATCGTCTAAACTGGAGCAAAAACTTGAAATGGTCTCCAAATATAGTGTGTTTTGTACATGAGTGAAGAAAAATAACCAATAAATGTATAGACACATCAGTTCTATCAATTCTATGGCTATGTATAATAAAGCACATTTGTACAAAAACTATATCATAATGTCAATTCTCACATAAGTAGGTAAAGGCATATGCATGTACTAAGAAAGATAACAGATAGATTTTTTTTTAAAGTACTGAAATACACTTTTTTATTTATTGTGTAACAATTTGGTCGTGTACAGACTGGTGGAACTTGAAAAACATTCCACATACAAAACATTTTCATGCGCCCCCTTGTGGAGTTTTTCTTTTAAATGAAGGCAAAGTTATACACATAATTAACAAGACAATATGTTGACATGTTACCTCACAAAAAAGAAGAGACATTACTATACTATATGACATACTATATATGACAGGTAGAAAGTAATAAAGTCAAACTCTTCACTAGAGCTACATTTTCCCAATGTCGTGCAGTGTTGTTCTACTTTGTAATAGTCTGTACGATAAGATGGACCTTTATTTATCCCTGTGGGGAAATTCAGTGTCATGACACTAGCATTTTTCCCCAAAAGTTATTGTCTTTGCAATGTATTTTTTAAGAGTTAGTCTGGGAATAGGGATTCAGCCTCAAACCTCAAATACAGATAAAACTGTTAATCGTTATTAACATTATGCAAGCAAACCCCATCGCTCTTTATCTCTTGACCGTTATCTTCTCAGGCCACGGTTTGGGGCCACGAGCGGTCGCGGTGGACCTCCACCAATGAAATTTGGAAATCCAGGTGAGCGTCTCCGCAAGAAGAAGTGGAACATGGATGATCTGCCAAAATTTGAGAAAAACTTCTATACTGAACACCCTGAGGTCCAACACCTCAGTCAGGTACATCTTATATTTGTCTCTGTCCCAGTCCCTCACAAACAATAAGTGAGTGAGTCAATAAACTTGCATGTATATATAGACAACTTTTACACCATGCCAGATGTAAAATGTCCTCTAAATTATAGTTGTTCAATAAACGAGAACCATTTCAGCAGGTTTTCTTGAAGATTTTTACAATGTATACACATGTCCAAATGTATGTTAATTATTTTTCCCCTCTCTTTATAATATCCAGTTTGAAATGGAAGAGTTTCGCAGGAACAAGGAGATTACCGTCAGAGGCTCTGGATGCCCAAAGGCGATACCCGCTTTTCACCAGGCGCAGTTTCCTCGTCAGTAAACAAAATCTATTCCATACATATAATATAAATACATATTAATGTTATACAAACGAAAATGTCTAATCTCAGGGAAACATGACCTCATAAAATAGATCACTCACTTAAACCAACATCTAAGAGTTTAAATAATAAGTTAATGAACAGTGATAGTAAAGGACAAGTGGTATGTTTAAAAAGGGGTTGTCCTTTGGATGGAAAGACTGAAATGAAGAAACCAAATTAAGTCCATCAGTGTAACTCTCTTGTACGTTGTCCTCCTCTTTCTCTTGGCAGAGTATGTGATGGATGTGCTGATGCAGCAGCACTTCAAAGAGCCCACAGCGATCCAGGCTCAGGGCTTCCCTGTGGCCCTCAGTGGCAGGGACATGGTGGGCATCGCTCAGACTGGCTCCGGAAAGACTCTGGCTGTAAGGCTGCCCGGCATCATCCTGCATGATGATGACACTCAAATAGAAATTCATTTATATACTTACAAAACTTTTGAATTAAAATGCCTAAACTATTGAAGAAGCACATCAGAAACCTCAGCACAGCTGAATTGGTTTGACCGTTTTGACACGAGAATAGGTATTTATTGGATTTTTTATTCCTTGCAGTATCTTCTTCCTGCTATTGTCCACATCAACCACCAGCCTTACCTGGAGAGAGGAGATGGCCCAATTGTGAGTGCACATTTATTCCATATTCCATATATTGTGTTAGATAGTGTTTTGTCTAAATCATACTGTGTGTCGTGCGTACACAATAAGAAAACCCATCCTCATTCGTCTTCTTCTCTTCACAGTGTCTTGTCCTTGCTCCAACCAGAGAGCTGGCTCAGCAGGTTCAGCAGGTCGCACTTGAATACGGCAAGTCGTCCCGTATCAAAAGCACCTGTGTCTATGGTGGAGCACCCAAAGGACCACAGATTCGAGACCTCGAGAGGGGTAGGTTTGGTTGTAGATGATGGCCACATGCAATAAATTATCCAAACTCATTTGAAATTCATTAATCTTTTAATAAAAATACATTTTCAAAATGAACTGGGTACTTTCCCAGCTTTTGTGTGGGGAACAGTCGAAGGTGAAAATCTCACCCTTTATGCCAACATGTTGATAATACAATTCAAAAACATTTAAATGTATGGAAAAATGATATATTCTGTAGACGCACTCGACTCTTTCATGTGCCCACAATGCAGTTTCCCTGTGAGGCGATAGAACACTCAACATTCGACTGTATGCAGGTTGGTGTGTGAATCTAATAATGTGTGTGTATCTTTTTTTTTTACTTCGGATTTGTTGATAGGTGTTGAGATCATTATCGCCACACCAGGTCGCCTCATTGACTTCTTGGAGAGCGGGAAAACTAACCTGACGCGCTGCACCTACCTCGTGCTGGATGAAGCCGACCGCATGCTGGACATGGGCTTCGAGCCACAGATTCGCAAGATAGTTGAACAAATCAGGGTAGGCTCAGTTAAGATCAGTCATAATGGTTGCTGATTTTAAAAGGTCCCCACTGACCTATTGTATATAGAATATTCTTCAGTTAAATCATGCCTTTGTCTCCCTGCCTCCTAGCCTAACAGACAGACTCTGATGTGGAGTGCAACCTGGCCGAAGGACGTCCGGCAGCTTGCCGAGGACTTCCTGAGGGAATATGTCCAAATAAATATTGGCGCACTGGAGCTCAGTGCCAACCACAACATCCTGCAGATTGTCGATGTCTGCATGGAGACTGAAAAGGACCAGAAGTAAGGATAGCCAATGAGCAAATATCTGACTGTAGAATGATGTTCTGTCTTTATCAACTCTCATTACCTGCGATACGTGGGTTGCAGAAAATGATCTTATCCTTTCACAAGTACCACTGACGTGCTATTATTGTCTCTTCCTGACTACAGACTTCTTCAGCTGATGGAGGAGATAATGGCTGAAAAAGAAAACAAAACCATCATCTTTGTGGAGACTAAGAAGCGCTGTGATGAACTCACCAGAAGGATGAGGCGGGATGGGTGAGAAAATATTGTCTGCCATGACCTAAAACGATGTTGACAATAATTGAAGGATCCATTTTGTGAATATCTGATAGGCGGAAGCTATTCAGGGTCTCACTAATCATGTTTATTTTCTTTTTGTATAGGTGGCCAGCAATGTGTATCCATGGAGACAAGAGCCAGCCAGAAAGAGACTGGGTACTTGCAGGTAAGAATAATACAGGGCTGCCACTTTCCTCCCCATTTCCTCGTCTAAACGGTTGTTCATCTGTCAGAGGGGCCAAGGACATTACACAATAGTAAACCTTTATAAAGACTCCTGTAGGTGAAGTGTTTTAAAGTAACTCCATCACTCCAGCAGAAGAGTACGATTGGAGATGATGATTCCCATGTCTAAATCCTGCAAATATTGTATTTATTTCTACAGAATTTCGCAGTGGTAAAGCTCCTGTACTGCTTGCTACCGACGTGGCGTCTCGTGGTCTGGGTATGTCTGCTCACACTATCACATTATCGCTCACATGATCATATTTGTATGTGAAGATTACATTGTTCTGTAAATAACATTTAGTGTATTATTAACTTATGGAGTAACACAAGTAAAAAGACCTCTACTTTTTGACCAATAGGTAAGTATACTCCAGAGGAAACCAGCTAAAGCCTGGTAATGAACTAAATGTAATTCTAGCACAATATTAAATAAAGAATTTTGTTTTTATCAGGGGGATATTATGATAGTTTGTTCATGTCTTTATAATAAATATCACACTAGGTTTTCCCCACAGTATACAGATTGTAAAGTATGCACTATAATGTGTGAAAATAACAAGGTTTATGATCCATTTGGCACATCAAATTTAAGAATCTCCCTTTCTATTTGAACCTGACAGTTTAATGAACTGTGCATTAGCACGGAGGCTGCAGGCCTGCTGGGTTTATAGTCTGTTTCTTGTTACTGCAGTTAAAAATCTTCCTTCACCCGGGGCTCATTGGCACGCTGCCTGAAAGCAGGGCCGTGTGAGGCAGATTCTCCTGTCTGCACACCATTTATTATGTCTCCTTCATAGTGTCAGTACAAAGCCATTTCAAGATATTGCTCTTATAACCCGTTTCTCCACATCTGAAACTGTGTAGCTGTTTCATTGCTATAATGCTGCAAAGTAATACCTACTGTTGTGTTTTGCGGATGCATTTGAGTAGGACAGATTATTAACCGGTCACAGTAAAGCTTTAATCTGATTTGTTAGCAGGATAAATGTGAGAAGGGGGGATAAGTGAGGTGTCTTTGACTTGCCAAACAAATAAATCCCTATGACCGTGTCCTTGTTCTTTTTCCCCCTCTTCTCCTCTCAGGGTTTGGCAGCACACGGCAGCTGTAAGTGTCTGCGCTGCTGCCCCCCTCACGTCCGCCCCTCAGTCACGATAAAGTAAAAGCTCGGCTAGCTTTAGACGGATTAAAGCCCTGTTAATCTTCTTCAGTTACTATGGTTCCCCCTTAAATCCAACGAGCCTTCCTTGGGAGCAGCCTGAGGTTCCTGTTTGTCTGCTCATCGGTCCGTCCCAGAAAAAAAAAAAGAGCAGACAGGGGAGAGGGAGTTAAACGGGCTCGTCTGGATCCAGTCCTGGCCGGGGTCTGAGGAGGGTCCTGCAATGCAGCGAGAGAGCAACAGAACCAGCCGTTGAGTTAAAGGGTTCTGCTCCTGTCTGACGTTGCTGGTGTGTGCAGAAGGTGAGGGAGGAGTCCTGTCTCCCTCCCCCTCAGCCCCTCACTAGAAACCAGGACTGATCAGGGGGGACCGACTACCTTTGTAAAAAAACAACAACAAGACGGGGGTAAGTACCTCACCGGCCCTTTCTCTTATCTCCTCCATGAGCTCACCATAACATCCAGGTACCTTCCTCGTGCTCAGATTTCAATCAAAAGAAAGGCACATCGTCACTCAGTAGCTCAGGGTTGGTGATGTATCTTCCCTCTGTCATGATGGAGGGCAAAAGGTCCATTTATAAGTCATAAATCAGCAGTGCTGTCCGAGCCCCACGTCTTCTGTAATAAGAAACAGACGGAACATTTTGAACAGATTGGTGTGAAGGTTATGAAGCCGAAACATGGTTCTGAACAGCGTAAAAAACCTGCAGTCAAGCTCAGTTTGATCAACTGTATTAGTTTGAACTCCGTTATAATGGTGGTTAACTGAAAATAATCTACGTATGGATGCATGGAGTTTTTGAACAGTGTCTGACTGAGCAGGTAAGTAACTCTATTTATTTAGATTTTTATTAAAGTGACATGTTATGTCTTTAATTGAATGCATACATATACAGTTAATGTATATTATGTACTTAAATTCAAATCATCAGCTCTTTAAGTGGAATTTAAATTGTTTCTCCAGTAACTTTTTTATAATATATTTTTAATTTCCCCTCATTGCTGATAAAGATGTGGAAGATATCAAGTTCGTCATCAACTATGACTACCCCAACTCCTCGGAGGATTACGTCCACCGTATTGGACGTACGGCCCGCAGCACCAACACGGGTACAGCTTACACCTTCTTCACCCCGGGGAACTGTCGACAGGCCCGGGACCTGGTCCGGGTTCTGACTGAGGCCCGGCAGGCCGTCAACCCCAAACTGCTCCAGCTGGTGGATTCAGGGCGTGGTGGAAACGGTAAGCACAATAACTCACAAAATGATCAACCCGACCCCGTGTTACCTTGAATTTTTAAAGAAAAGCGTTATTCTCTCCACATGGCTCCATGATGACCAAAGAATCAAATAGATTCATGTTGATTGATGTAAATCTGGCATCAACAGTTAAACTATATCATAAGTGTCATTAATCAATATATTGGTTCACTACTTTCAAAACACATGCATTTTGCCAAAACCTTATCATGTACAACACTGGGACTCGCCAAGAAGCACGACTTTGCAAGCGTGAAACAGTTTCGTTTTTTTTCAAATAGTGAGGTTTGCGGTAAGGGTGAGCATATAACTGGATGAATGAGACTCTGATTAAACTGCACCGAGTTTGTTTTAAACAAATGCTGCGATACAGTCCAGGTGAAATGCGGCCCCAATTTACTTTAAATCTTCAAGACTTTCTTTCAGTTTTGTCAATTCTTTGTTTACCATGGAAACACGTGAACAAGCTTTCTTCAAGAATTGAAGGTGATACCCGGATGGTAACCAAAATATAAATTGTCATTTTCGTGGTGAACTACTTCTTTAATGTATCACAGTCCATCATATGGTTGAATGGAAGAGATCAAATAATACTGACATTTATCTTCATTACAGGCGGCAGAATGCGTTACCGTGGCAGCAGCTCCTACAACTCCAACAGCATGTACCAGGGGGGTTATGATCGCAGGACGTATGGCGGTGGTGGAGGTGGCGCCAGCAAAGATGGCGCCAATGGCTTCAGCAGTGGCGGTCGCACCAACCATGATGCAAACCACTCCTCTTCCTCCTCCTCTTCCTCCTACAGGGACAGAAGCCAGGGGCACAGGAGTAGCTACAACTCTGGTGGCTCCGATCAGTTCCAGAGCTACAGCGGCAGCGGGGGCTACAGCTCCCGCAGCGGAGGCCCGCCCCCTGGAGGTCAGAGCAGCCAGCCGCAGGGTCAGTTTGCCCAGCCTCCTTCTGCTCCTCCATCAGCGGGGGGGCCAATTCCTCTGATGGCTCGGCCCTTCGCTCCTCTACAGCCACCGCTCAAGGGCATCATGGGGCAGCCTCCTTACCCTTTTGCTGCTCCACCCGCTCCTCCTTCAGGCCCTCCACCTCCCCGAAAGTAGAATTATGAAGAAGAGGCGCAGAGTTCATTGCGGCCACTCAGTGTGTTATTTCATTTTTTTGTCTTCTACCAAAGGTGGGGGTTTGAAAAGGCAGTATATGTAAGGATTTAAGGGCTAACATGTTTGTTTGTTCCATATTTTGAACCCACCTTAAACTAGAACCTTTATCCTTCAATTTATTAGACATGATTTCTCATTTTCCACAGTCTCATTGAGTTGCTCTCGACCATGTGACCTGGAGGAGCAATGTTGTTCTTTTCATTTGATCAAACATTGCAGAAGTTGATAGCTGCTGTAAAGTGTTTGGTTAGAACAAACATCTAGCACACATTACGTGGTGCATGGTTGAACGTGCTGATATATGGGAATTTCTTTCATTTTGTATAAACCGTCCCATTCCAGCGTCAAGTGTTCTAGCTTCATCACGTTCTACATGTTAGACTTGTTTTGTTCTTCTATCATTTCATTGAGTTTATGTTTGTGTTATTCTGAACGCTGAAGCCGTTAAATCTTCTTTTGATACCATGAAACCACTATTTGACTTATTCCTATCCTCTAGCAAAATTCCTATCCTCAATTTCAAACTTATGCTTCCGTTAACTTGTAACTTTTTAACTCTTATTTCTTAAATAAGCATCATAGCTAAGGCTGAATTATATTCAAGACTGTTGACTTGGTTTCTTGCTTGTTTTTTTATTAATTCTGTTCTTAATTTCTTAATAAATAACAGAATCAAAGCGGTTTCTCCTTTGCAAATTATTGTTCATACCATTTATGTCAGGTAAAGTCCATACAAATGACTTTATTGGCCTTTATTACATATATTTGTAGTACATTCTCAATTTGTACCCAGCAATATGTACATGGTTGTTGCTTTTACTGATAATATACATCATGGCATGAAGCTTTTATTTACATTAGGAGCACAAATGGAAATGTCCCTTTCTCACAAATACACAGTTCTCATTTTCTGGGTCTTAAGCTACATGTTTTAGTTCCCTACGTTACTTTGTTTTGATCAAGTAAATATGGGCCCAACAGTCTGATGTATTCAAGGATGGCAGCTCTTCCATGCATGTAATCATTGTTGCAGTGTACTGCAATCGGAAGCATATAGGTACTTTTAGTAAAAGATTGATGTGACCAAGGATGGGTGTTATGTGAACCTTTGAAGATGGGGCCCTGCAAAAACATGACATTTTAGCGTACCCCTAAATGCACCTCTATTCAAATAAAAAATTATGGCTGCAAATGCATTGGTCATCCAATTTCTCCTGGTCATAGTATTGGTGCGATAGTTGGTTCTGTAACTAAGGTTGCATCAGCGCAGACATATCATAGATGCCGTGCTGATTTACTACTTTAAGGCCAAATACTCAGATTAAAGTCCAAATAGCCATATTCTCATGATTGCTTCTCCAGTCAAAGAAAGGGCCAGCGCACATCCTAAAGAAAAGGATACCATGGAGAAGATAAAGGCTGAAATACATGTGTCGTTTTTAAAGGGGCCCTATGATGTTCAGGTTCATATCTGTATGTTGTGTCTCTACTGCTCTAATGTTCAAAAAGGTTGTTTTTGTTCTCATACTACCTGTGCTGCAGCACCTCTTTTCACCCTCTGTCTGAAACCAGAGCCCAGTCTGCTCTGATTGGTTAGCTGGTTCTGTTGTGATTGGTCAACCGCTCAGAGATGTCCTGCCCTTTAGCCTATCAAATGCAATGTGTTGGAGGGCTAGCCAAAAGAAGTGCGAGTTGTTACGGAACTAAAAAAAGGAGTCCAAATGACGTCTTTCTGGGGGGGGTTTAGCCTTTGCAGGCCATTGACATGTGCAAAAATACCTATATAGCACACTACAGGAAAGGGAATACCCAGAAAAGCATAATATGGCCCTTTTAATCGAAGGCAATGAGTCAACAAGATAAGTTTGTATCTGACGATGAAGTCAAACCTGTGACAGGCCGCTCAATGCATAGTTTACATATATCGTGCACATGTACATTATTTACAATCTGCTTGAATGATTGAAAAGTATATACTGAGGCGACATTTGTCTCATTATTGCTTTCTTACTTCCTGTCTGGTGTTACTGTATCTGTAAATAAATATAGGCAAATCTCTATAGAAATGAAATAAGTCATAGAATAAGGAAGCAGCCTATAAAACAGATCAATGGCACTGTGATGAGGATGTAAGTTGATCTACCATCAGGTTTATAACTATATCATTATTACTCCATGGGTAGTTGTTCAATTGATCCCACATCATATTTATAAACTGAATCTCTTACTGTATCCTTATTGTTGTAACACACATGTTATTTTAGAAACTTCTTCTCTCAGTTGGACCCAGTCTGCCTCCATTACCAATTTATTGTAGCCTTTTATGACCCTAAAAGTGCTCCAATCAACTCAATAACCGTGGATGATTAGGATGATTCAGTAACATTTGTTTCACAAAATATTTTCTGATAAGAACATTTGAAAAGAGAAACTGAGTCATTTGTTTACATATATGTACAAAGCAAAATAAAAATCATAACTCAGGCACATGTGGTAGAATCAAACCGGATGTCAACGGTGATGTCCCTCTTTGGGTGGAGCCACAGTAACACGGCAGTAAAAAACAAAAAAACAATGTATGGAAATATGGAATGGTTTCATGTGCAAAATTAAAACAAGTGCATGAACGATTGTTTTGTGTAAAATAACTTTCAAAATCCTGAGTGAAAATATCAAAACAAGTTTCCCAATCTTTTTAAAAAGTGCAGAAATTAAAAATAAAATATAATTCGGTATTTAAACGGGGTCAGATTTAGCACCCTTCATTTTTCAAAGACAGACGTAATTAATTAAGTCAATGACGTTTGAATTCCATAACACCTGCACTTTTCCTGCTCCGACACAAATATAACAACAAAGGCAATCATTTAAAAGTACCATTATATAATTTATGCTCCCAGGACAACACCTGTGTTGATACTTTTCCAGTTATTACTGCATTTCAGATCAACTCTGAACAGTAACAAAAATCATCGCCATGTATTCAAAGTGATGTTTAAATTGAGTTTCTTCATTTCCCTACGCCACTTGATTTCTGCCTGTTATATCCCATATTGCTGCAGCTGCTTCTTGAACACTGAAGTAGTGCTGAAACCATTTTATAGGACATGTATTTGAATAAATCCTACTGATCATAGTTTGAATACATTGGGTGTTTTGGCTCTTGGTCATACCGTAAACATCACTTTAAGAATGTAACTGAAAAGCATTTTTTAACAAACTGAAAGAAAATAATGATAGCAACCCAGAACACTCAAACGCTCTGATTGTGGAACATGTTAGCCCAACATGGAAAAAGGTAGGAATGTGCCTTACTTCAGGGTTGATTGGGTTTTGTAAAAAAACAGAAATAATACGAAACACCAGCTGTTACATGTATTTCAAATGACATGCGACATCTGAGAGGAGTGCTTGTTATGTGGACAACTGCACACATTCATTTTTAAATAGGCTCCACTCGTTTCCCCATTGAATCTTTTCTCTGACAGTTTGCGTTGGAATGATTGAAGAAAAAGCATGTACGAAACACAGGAAGGCGGAGATGAGGGAATAAAGACAGGAAGGCTGCGAAGGAAGGCACAAAGTAGAAGCTGGAGCCACGACGGTTTCATTTCAGTTTGTATCACCAAACCAGAGTTTGAAACCGTTCAGTGAGGGAGAGGCCGTCCCGCCTCAAAGCCAGCGATGAGGGACAACTTCAACCGAAATCTAAAAGGAAGCAGCAGCAGATCATGACAGGAGGTCGGCCTAAAGGCTCCCCCAGGTGTGGGGGGGCGGGAACTGGTCCACGTCTCCGGATTCATCGTGAGATGTGTCCCCTAGGTTGAACGTCAGCTTGTAACGCAGACGTACTTTTTCCTGAGAGGAGAAGAAGAAAATAAAATCTGATTAATGTTGCAAATCTCAGTCACTGCTTGAAGGTGCAATATCGTCTTCCAAATGCATTGCTTTTGACCTTGAAGTATGCATGTCGTTATTCAAAAACACATGAGCAAAGATGAATGTAAGGAGGATATGGTTTATGTCGCCCTCTTGTTCCTACAGCATGTACATGACTACGAGTTAATAACCTTCAGTGAATATATATAGAGCTGTTTTTTCTTGCAAAAAGAAAAGTGTATCAATGCAAAGACTATTATTGTGTCCAATGACGTGACGTATTTTCAATGATATCAGACTATTGCCCTGAATGAGGCCGACACTAACGGATGAAAATGATTTCTAAATGGGTCAGATGGCAGAGTACCTTGTGAGGATTGGCCAACAGCAGGATCTGTGTGATGGCAGCTGGAGGCAGGATGGGGTTATAGGCAGGGAGCTCTGTGCTGGAGGGGGGCTGCAGCTTCACCTTCATCACCTAGACACAACCAAAGCAAAATGTTATTTAAGTCAAAATAAATGTTTTCCACCTGACTTTTACATCATGGTCTATTACAGGCTGGGATGGGAGGGCCTACCTTTGGTACGGCGGCCTGAAAGCGGATGTTGGTGACGGGGATGGGGGCGGAGGACAGCATGGAGATGATCACCACCAGCACCTCGGGCCGGGATGGAGGACAGTCATGAGCAAAGGTGAATAAAACCCGGAGACTGTGTTTGTCGAATACAGTCACTGGTAATAAGCTGCCTGGAATATTGTAGTAGGGAGAAAAAACAACAACAGATTGTGATGCAGAGGAAAATAAAAGAGAGAAAAGTGTCTCTGATGGGCGTTGAATGCTTACTAGGCTTGATTGCTTCCAGAGGCACGGTAACGTCAGCTAGAGAGATGTTGTCGTAGGGGTCAGCAGAAACTGCCAGACTGAGATTGGGGAGGAGGAGAGAGTCCGGAGGCTCTGATTGGACTGTCAGGCTGAATGTGGGCACAGGAGCAGGAGCGGGATTGGAGGAGATGGAGGTTGCTTTAGGGTTGGCGTTGGACTTGGTCTGCATGTCTCGTAAAGTGACTCTGGATTGAGGTTGGAGTTTATCCCTGCATGTAGAAAACACACATATGTCCCTTCAACAAGTGATTTACTACTGCTCTGTATTAAATAACAGTTTAGGGCTATGAAGAGTGACATGACAACATTCAGTGACACTTTGATTAAACTGCAGGCTGGACAAGAACGCTTGAGAAATTGTAAATAGTTCAACAAAAAAGAAATCATATTTTTGCCAATATATTGGTACAATTTGTGGGAAACTTCAACATTTAGAAAAGAAAATTCAAAGAAAATATGTTTGAAGTCACTGTACTAGGAACATTTTAGTTTCATTTTCAAAACTCTGACAGTCCTTGAATTAATATTATCGGAAAAATACTTCAGATGGAAAAGTAACAAAATATAAGCTTGAAATATTGATATTTAAATAAAAAAACAGTATTGAAAATATCTCAAACATCGCCAGACTTAAACAGTTTACTCTAACCAGACTAAAATAAAGTATTAAATTATGAGCATACACACCACCTCATTTTGACTCCCGTGTTATATTTCATGCCAAATTGAGGAGATTGTGACGGGAGCAAAAACCTGTTTAACTAACCATTTGACTTGCTGGCTCTCTGGAGGAAGGGACTGCTGTAACAAGGTCTTCCCCAACAGGTCCAGCCCTTCTATGGGTTTGGGTGGAGCAGCAGGGCCCCCTGCTGGTGGAGCCGCTGTTTGGACCACAGCGGGCTGCAACACTGCAG